CCCCGCCCGCGCACCTTACGGCACACCGGGGCAGCTGCTCCTGTGCCTTCAGGACTTCCTTCTTGAAGTATGTCCATCCCTCCTGGACCCCTCTGTTCCCAGGGGCTGTTTCCCAGGGTACACTTTGCACCAGACTTTTGAGCAGGCCAAAGTCTGCTCTTCGGAAGTCCAGGGTAGAATTTTTATTGATGGCCCTTCTTGCATCCCTGAGTATCGAAAACTCTATATTTTTGTGGTCATTGTGCCCCAAACGGCCTCCAACCACCACATCTCCCACCAGCCCTTCTCTGTTTGTGAACAAAAAGTCTAGCAGGGCCACACTCCTAGTAAGCTCATCTACCAGCTGAAGTACAAAATTATCCTCTATGCGCTCAAGGAATCTCTTAGACTGCCTTTTCTCTGCTGTGTTACATTTCCAGCAGACATCCAGCAGGTTAAATCACCCACAAGAACAAGGGCTGGTGATTTTGAGACATCTGTCAGCTGCCTGTAGAATAAATCATCACCCTCATCATCCATATTGGGTGGTCTGTAACAGACTCCCACCAAGATGTCAGCCTTGTTGGCCTTCCCCTCGATTCTGATCCACAGGGACTCAGCCTTGTTGTTACTGACTTCAAGCTCTTCAGAGTCAAGAGACTCTGTCATACAGAGCCACCCCTCCTACCTTGCCTGTCCCTTCTGAAGAGCTTGTAACCATCCACGGCAGCACTCCCGTCATGCGAGTCATACCACCATGTTTCTCTGATGGTGAGTGAGTACGTCATAGCTTTCCTGCTGCACGATGGCTTCCAGCTCCTCGTGTCTGTTACCCACTCTAAGGCAGTGTAAGTTAAATTAGCTCCTAACTCTGGCTTCCCACCCTGAGGCTCATCTCTGGAAAGCCTGCTGTCAAGCCCTTCCCCCTTCAAACCTAGTTTAAAGTTCTGTTTTGCTCATGACGATGACATTCAGCGAGTGATCTCTCCTGGTCCCTATCTCAACTCATGAACCTTTTGTTATATTTTTTCTCCCCTGTCTCTGTGCAGAGGAGACTGATAGAGTGGCTTTGGTGGGTGCTGGGCATCCAGCCAGGGTCAACTTGCTGCAACAAGCAAACAAAAACTAATCAACCAACTAAATGAAAAACACCAAAAAGCTCCCCAACATCTCCGATCCCACAACATTTCAAGAGCAGCAATTAAAGAATCTATTACTCAGTTTGTTGGGACCACAGCCATGTGTCTAATTTGAATTAAGTCTTTCGGTGTTCAAGAAGAATTTGGACAACACTCTGAGTTACATGATTTCATTTTTGGTTTGCCCTCTGTGGAATCTGGATTTGGACTTGATGATCCTCATAGGTCCCTCAGTTTACTCGGGATATTCTATCTGTCTATGATTCTGAGCATGGGAAAAATATACTGTGAGAGGGAAGTGCAGCAAAATTCAGTATGAGTACTTCTGAGGTTAAATCAAGTGGTATACTCTGTGGTAAAATTTTATTCTTACTGTGGTAGTTATTTCATGTACTTATGTCTCCTATGACTGAGATGAGATTCAGATCAGAAGCTGGACAGAAAGGAACTACTTATGTCTCCTATGACTGAGATGAGGTTCACATCAGAAGCTGGACAGAAAGGAAATTTTCTGTACAGAGGTTCATTTGAAAGGTCTGTGTGGTCCCTTTTGAAACTGGTTATAAGTTTGAATGCATTCACTGAGCACAAGGTAAAGACGAGAAAGGATTTCTTCTGAGAACCCTCAGAGGGTCCAGAGGTCTGGAAAAGCTAAGACAGTTTGTGCAGGAGAGTACTTGTGAAGTCTCTTGTGAAACAGTAGTACAAAGAACAGATTGAGAAGTTTGTGCTTTCCTATAGCAAGGTATAACAAATGTTTTAAGGTGAGTGTAATTTATGTTTATGCATGTGAAAGAAATGAAGATGATGTTAAGAATGAAAATCTACAGCAGTAGCATTCACTTTCTAGCATATGGGAATCACTAGAACAAGCTTTATGGCCATTAATAGATTGAAATATTTTATTCAACATGCTAGCTGAAAAAAGGGGAGTATCTAAAAATGGCTTTCTGTAGAAAGCAAAAAGCTGCCAGGTTTCATACCCTGACCTGTATTTGCTAAACAGATGTATAAATAAAGGGGCTTTTCCTTTTCTGGTTTATATAATAGCTCTTAAATTATGATGATGCAGAACCAAACATCCCCGAGACTCTCAGATGTGAATACAACTGCCTTTTGTAGGAGAAAATTTTTGCAGTTTTTAGGAGATGTGTTCAGTGAACACTGACGTTAGATTTCTAATTATGTGCTCTTTTGGTGTATTTTTTATGGGATAATACCAAGTAAACAACTCGTACCATTTCTTAGGCAACTTTTATGACTGCACTGCTTTGGCTGCCATTAAATGTGACATCTTCTCTCTCACACAAGAAGCCAAGGAAGGCTAAAATTGTCTTCCTCTGTTCCTGATTGGTCATGTAAAAAATCCAGGTCCTCAGAGAGGATCTGATTTAGTGTGAAGTCTCCTTACAGAAACTGTGGCAGGAAATTGGGGTTTGGGAGTTTCTCAAGAGGATGTGAGACCTGTCTTTTGTCTTGATAAATCTCATCCATGTGTCTGAAT